CATTGGGGAAGAGATGGCATTTTGACACAGTAGCCCCAGTTGAATGACCTTAAACCTCTGAACCTCCACATCTGCCCCAGCTGTACTTCTTTACTCCCGAGAAGACTGTACAGACTGTGAGTTAGGAGGCATCCACTTTAATGGATCAAATCCCACACAGAAAAGCTTTCTCGCTGTGAGGCTGGCATCAAGTTACAGCACCTTTGTGAACTCTCCTGTCTCCTTATCTGTCCAGCGGGAGAGATCTTGTTTTGAGGACTGGGTAAGAGAACTTGTGTGTGAAGTCTCACTAAGCTGCCTGGCTCCTACTCACCATCAATAACAGTTGCTATTATCTTTATACACACCATTATCACCACCATCAATGTGATTCAACGGCCTGATGGAGCCTACTTAGAACAGGCATCATCAACTCAAATACCTGCAGGAGGCGGGCAGGCAGCAGGGACAAGAGTCGGGGAGTCATTTATACAAACACATTGGCGCAAGGTGGGAGCTGGAGAGAGTGTGAGAGCCATGTCTGTCTCCAGGGGAAGCCGCTGCTCAACAATAATCATTTACTGCCAAGTGGACTGTGAGCCCAGTGATTCCAGGCTTCACACTTTCTCAACAAAGCCAGAGATTCAGAGCTTTGCCGAAAGTTTGGTGCCTTATGAAAAGCTACACAAACACTTCTCTGAATCACAGCAGACAGAGGAGGGCGGAGTGTGTTTCTTCATGCAGGTCTCCAGGTCCGCTTTAGGTTGCCAGGTGACAACCCGGTTGGGTTGGGTTTATTCTGTCGGGGCTGTCAGCGATGGCCACGCCCACCGCCTAGCCAGCAGAGAATGTGATAGACATTCCCTGACACGGCTGTGTCGTCTCAGGCACACTGCAGAGGAGAGAAGAATTACAGGCGTACCCCAACAGCTGCTTCCACGTGGATGTCAGATTCACTCTGAGAACAAATGTTTCAGGGTGTCAGAGAGTCCCCAGGAACTGCCAGTTTAAGACAGGCTCAGATTCATCCTATTTATGCCATTGTATGTCTGGAGGTATGAAGAACAGGGTCAAGGCAGGGATTAAATGTATCTACAGGATTTCAAGCTTTTCCATCTTTTCTTAGCACAGAGAAGTTTGCCTCATTGGTTGAAGGATAGCTCCAACTACGACCATCACGATTGTGTTCCAGGCAGAGAGAAAAGCACGTGATACGCTTTTTTTCCAGAAACCCCAGCATATTTTTTTTTTCTGTTTCGCTGGCCAGAACTGTTTTCAACATCAATACTTGATCACAAAGGAAAAGAGAATGGGATATTTTTAGATGGTTACATGGAAGACCCCCAACAACATCAGGTTTCTGTTCATTGGAACCAGAGAGAACAGAGGAAGAGTAGGCAACCTTTAGCCCCTGCGGCCTCCTCCGAATGCAGAAGACATGTCAGACCCTAGCCAAGCATTAAAGACCTCAGCCTGCATTGGATCTCAACTAAGCCAACCTTGTCCAGAGCTGGGATGTCAGCTTTGGGTCCCTCCCTGTTCCCGTTCTCCCCTATCCCGCCCCCCGCCCCTGATGTTTCTGGGGCTCCACCCAGGTCCAAGGATGGTGGGGCGGTTGTGTGATTAACACCACGAGCGGTTCCAGGAGGCACCCGGGAGAGACATTCGGAGAGAAATATGTCAGCGGCACAGCTGGTTTATAATGTGTATTAATCCCTGACATGTAATTTGAGTAATATATGTAAAGCAGAAAGTTCAGGTGCTGATTTAGGGGCCTTATTACTACCCTGTCAGCAGAATTCATGTTCTATTTGCACATTGTGCTGGGTCCAACGTCTCATCCACGGGGACAGGAGGAGGAGGCTTTCTGGGGGATGCCAGCTGATAGCAGGGTAGAGGTGGATCCCGATGGAAACAAGGCATCTGTCAGTCAAGTGCATAGAACCCCAGCAGGGTTGCCAGGCGCCTACCTGGCCCAGGGAGTTATGGAACAAAACCAGATTTCTTTTTCTTGGTCTGCGGAGCAGATCCATGTTTGTTCCTCAAGAGGGCGGTAAATGGAAGTCTAGAAAGTCATGGACTTTGGAATTCAAAGTCAACTTGGCCCCTTTTTTATCATGTGACTTTGGACAAGCTTTTCCAGCTTTCTGATGCCAATTTCCATATCTGCAAGTGGGAATCATAAGAACACCCATCTAACTGAGGCTTACAAACAATGGGCTCTGAGCACTTATGAGGGACCAAGGGAATTCTAGGTGTCTGACATTTGTTCTCATTGAAGCCCAATAGCAACCCGATAAGATAGATGTATGATCCTTCAACTTAGAGTGGAATAAGGCACAGAGAGGTGATGCATCTTGTTCAAGCTCACACAGCAAATGACTGATAGAGCTTAAAGTTGCCCTCTGAGATCCAATGGAACTTTCTGTCATAATGGAAATGTTTTATAATTCTGTGCTGTCCGCTACAAAATCCACTTGCCACAGTGGCTACTGAATGTTTGAATATGGCTAGTTGGACAGAAGATCCTAAATTTTTATTTAACTGTAGATACTTTAAATATAGTTTGTGGACGTGCAGCTCCAGACTCCCCGGTGCTCTCTGCTTGCACCAGAGGGGCTTAGCTCTGACAACCTCAAGAAGCTCATGTATATTAGCAAGGCTTCAGTACAAAGGACCACACAGCCAGGCTTGGTGACTCACACCTGTAATCTCAGCACTCAGGAGGTAGAGGAAGGAGAATTGCTACAAGTTTGATGCTAATCTGACTTATATGATGAGGTTATATAACAAAACTTCACCTAAAAAAATTCAGCTGGGTCGTGGTGGCTCACGCCTTTAATCCCAACACTTGGGAGGCTGAGGCAGGCAGATCTTTGAGGTCAAGGCCAGCCTGGTCTACAGAGTGAGTTTCAGGAAGGCTCCAAAGCTACAGAGAAACTCTGGCTCAAAAAAAAAAAAATCGAAACCAAACCAAACCAAACCAAATCAAAACACCAAGAATGGGGCCAGGACTGAGGGATGGCACAATTGATAAAGTGCTTGTCTTGCAAGCATAAGGCCATGGCTTGGATCCTCAAAGTCCATATTAAAACAAACAAACAACAACAACAACAGCAAAAACTCAGTGCAGGGAAGTAGAGACAATTAGATTGCTGGAGCTCACTGATTGGCCAGCTAGCCTAGACTACTTAGTGAATTCCAGTGACAGACCATGTCTCAACAAAGGCAGAAGGCTCTTGAAAAACAGCATGAGATTATTCTCTGATCGCCACAGTCATGTACATACGCGTGCACATAGACATATAAAAACACATGATGTACACACATAACAAGAACAATAAAATAGGATCATATAAGGGAGATGACTTGATGTTGGATTTCCCTCTGTATGCCATGAATATGCTTTATTAACATTGGTCAATAAAGAAGCTACTTGGGCCTATGGCAGAGCAGAATGTAGGTTAGTGGGAAAACTAAACTGCGGTAGGTGAAAATTTTAAACTGAATGCAGGGAGAAAAAAGGTGGAGTCAGGCAAATGCCATGTGACTGCTTAAGAAGCAAGAGGTAACAAACCACAAGCCTTGTGGTAAAATATAAAATAATAGAAATGGGTTAATTTAGGTTGTAAGAGTTAGTTAATAAGAAGCCTGAGCTAATAGGCCAAACAGTATTTCTGTGAGATTATTTGGGTCTGGGCAGCCGGTAAAGAAAGAACAGTCTCTGTTTACAATGACTAGCTGGGCGGTGGTAGCACACGCCTTTAATCCCAGCACTCGGGAGGCAGAGACAGGCGGAACTCTGTGAGTTTGAGGCCAGTGTGGTCTATGAAGTGAGTTCCAGGACAGCCAGAGCTGTTACACAGAGAAGCCCTATCTTGGAAAAATAAAACAGAAAACAACAATAACAAAAAACAAAAACAAAAAAGGAGATACTGATGTCGTTCTGTCTTTCCCTGTGCTGCATCAGGATGGTGATGCAGAATAAAATACTGCTCCTGTAAAATGAGTGGGTGTTACGGTGTGAACACTGAGGTTCTTCAAAATTCACATTGAACCTTAGTGTCCAGGCAATGGGGAAGCCTAAAAAGTGGGACCTTCAAGAACCCACGTGGGCGTGTTCATCCCTCTATCCTTTCTGCTGTGTAAGGGCTTATGGTGCTGTCCTGGAAGTAGAGAACAGCCCTTCCCAGAGACCCAATCTGCCAGTGCCTTCCTTCCACACTCGCCAGCATGTGGCTGGCTGTGGGTGGGCCAATTAGTTTCCGTCCATCATGAACATGCTGAGCTAGTGGGTGCTTAGGGTGTCAGGCTGGGACTGTAGAGAAAGCCTAGTTTGGCAAAGGACTTGCCATAGCTCCCACCTAACAAGCTGGGCACAGAGGCACACTTATCATCCCAGCACGGAGAAAGTGGAAACAGGAAGATTTCTGGGACGCACTGGCCAGCATAATGGTGAGTCCCAGGTACCGTGCGAGATCGTCTCAAAAACAAGATGAATAGCCCTGAGGAAGGACCCCCATGATTAACCCCTGGCCTCCACATGCTTGTGCATGTGACCTGTACACACACAAATACACATGCACAGGCACACATACACATGCCCCAGGCCCTCCTGAGAGCTCCAGGATCCTAGACACTGTCTGCCAATGAGCTAATATGATAGACACAGGTTTTAACCTTGCACTTTTGGACCTGGCAGTCGAGTAGAGAAGATGATGTTAAACAAATGGCCACTCAGCTAATTACAGCTGACTTGTGATTTTTTTTTTTTGACTTTACGATGGGTTTGTTGGGTCATAACCCCATCATAAATGAAGTAACATCTATATTTATAACAGTTAATTAAAGGGCCATCTGAGTGCATGCCAATATTGCAAAGTGATCAAATGGCAGTTAGAAAAAGTGACTGGAGAAGCCTAACCCAGCAGTTTGCCTGGGGCTCTAGGAGATGATTCGTCTCAGACATATTCAGAAAAGAGGAGGGACTCAAATTTCATCTTAAAGAGTTAGAAGTTGTTGTGCTCGCTTCGGCAGCACATATACTAAAACTGGAACAATACAGAGAAGATTAGCATGGCCCCAGTGCAAGGATGACACTGAAATCCGTGAAGCGTTCCATTTTTTTTTTAAATAAAAAAAGAGTTAGAAGTTGTAGCCAGCTCTGGAGGCCCATGCCTGTGAGCCTACATACTCAGGAGGCCAAAGTTTCTGCCCAGCGTGGGTAACGTGGTAAACTACTAGCTCAGAAAAGCGGGGTCTGGCACTGGTGAGACAAGCTGTTGGGTAAAAGTGCTTGCTATGCAGGCCAGAGCCTGGAGTTAAAGATCTGGTGGAGGGAACTAGTTAACCCAAATTGTCTTCTGATCTCCACATATGCACATGCCTTCCCATGATGTGCATATACATCATCATCACCAACATCAGTCAAGGTCAGATGCTGGAGATGTGCTCAGTGGTAAAGTACTCATCCAACATGTGTGAGGCCTTGAGTCCCAAGCCCAGCACCACATGTACACATGCACACATGCACACACACATACACACAAAAATTAGAGAAAATAGGTTTCTGTATGTAAATATGAGGGGCTGGAGAAATGATTCATTGGTTAATAGTATACTGCCTGATCTTCCAGAGGACCCAGGTTTGATTTCCAGCACCCACTTTGTTTCCCACAACTTTTTACTTCAGTTCCAGGGGATCTGATGCCCTCTTCTGGCTCCTATGGGCACCAGGCATACTTGTGGTACACAGACATACATGTAGGCAAAACACCCAGATGCATAAAATGATAAAATAATATTAGAAATATTTTAAGGTACGCAGGACAAGCACTCCAGTAGCAGGAACAGTGGGGGTGAAAACATCAAGGGACTAAGCCCTTCGGGTGACTGGGAGCATTGGTGAAGCAGCTCTAGGAAGATGATGTCCCCACTCCCTTGCCCTCCTACACTGAAATCATTCCAGCTCACGCTGAGCTGCTGGCCATTATCCTGAGGTGATGCAGGTTTCTGCACAGGGACAGCTGTGGATTCTGTCTTCAGAACAGTTCAGCTGTATTGGAGAATATATAATTGGGCTGTTTTCTAGCCAGGTGACTGTGACATCCCTTTCAGGTCTAACATCACTCCTGGGCCATCCACCCCACTCTCCACACAGAAACTACAGGGATCTTTGCAGGTTTTGCATGCAGTTAAAAAGCCAAACGTTCTAGAGAGTTCATTTCTCCCTCCCTCTCTATTTTTTTATTGCCGTGTTTTTGGGTTTTTAGAGATAGGCTCTCATGTAGCCTAGACTAGCCTAGAACTCACAGTGTAGCTGAGATGACCATCAACTTGCGATCTTCATGGTTCCTCAAGGTGGTGGGGTCTCCCCACCCTTCTTCAAGGAATCTCTTTATCTATCTGTCTGTCTGTCTATTTGTCTGCCTGCCTGCCTGTCTATTGTCTCTCTGTCTATTTTTCAAGACAGGGTTTCACTATGTAGCTCTGGCTATCCTGGAACTCACGATGTAGACGAGGCTAATCTTGAACTCACAGGAGATCTGTCTACCTCTACCTCCTGACTGCTGGGATTAAAGGCATGCAACATAGAAAGGAATCACTTTAATTAGGATTTTTGTGTGAGTGTGAGTGTGTGTGTGTGTGTGTGTGTGTGTGAAATTGTATCCAGGGGCTTACACATGCTATTCAAGTACTCTACCACTAAGGTCTATCTCCAGCCTCCACGACCTTGCCAGTTGTCTTCTGACCTCCACATACATACCACAGCATATTCTTGCCCATGAACATACTCAGTGAATAAATAAGAAACAAGCATATATACATGTAATGAAGTTTTGAGCTGTTACTAATAAAACTGCATGAAAACTCTATTCATATTCTCATGAGGATATAAACACTCATTTCTCTAGGATAGATGCCCAAGTATGCAACTTCTGAGTTATACAGAGTTGTGTATGTAGTAGCAATAAAATACACATAACATGTCACAACCTTTAATTCCAGTACTCAGGAGGCAGTGGCAGGTGTATCTCTGAGTTTGAGGCCAGCCTACTTGACAGAATGAGTTCCAGGACAGCCAGGGCTGCTCAGAGAAACCCTGTCCTGAAAAAAAAATGCATATTACAAAGTTTACCCTTTTAAGCATTTTAAATGTAGAGTCAATGATATTAAGCACACTGACATTGCTATACAACAATTACCATCATTTGTTGCCAAAATATTTTTATTTTGCAAAACTGAAACCCTGTACCCATTCATCACACAACAACATGCCCTTCCTTCCTCCCTCTCCTAGACCCTTACAACCACCTAGATGCATGCACATCTATATATCTACATATCATATACATGCACATACATATGAAAATATCAAGCCTTTAGCGGTTGGTGCCACTATTTTACATTCTCACCGTCGATATAGGAATGACCCAGTTTCTGTGGCTCCCCATCAGCATTCAATGCCCTGGTTTTCTGTTTTAGCTATTCTGATGTGTGCGGCGACAAGAGGCTTTGTTTACACATCCAGAGTCTGGTTCTACGGATATGTGAGTTGAAAACATTTTTTAACAGGGTCTTCCACAGAAAAATGCTTGGATTATTGTTATATTTGTGTGTGTGTGTGTGTGTGTGTGTGTGTGTGTGTGTATGACGTATGTGTGATGAGAGTGTGGACGTGTATTTGCTACATGTTCTCTCCTTCCCCCATTATGTGGGCTCCAGGAATCAAACTCAGGTCATCAGGCTTACACAGCAACACCTTTGCCACACAGCAGTCTCAACGGCCCAGAGAAATTGTTGTTTTGTTTTTTTTCAGGCAGGGTTTCTCTGTGTAGCCCTGACTGTACCAGAACTCACTCACTCTGTAGACCAGGCTGGCCTTGAACTCACATAGGTCTGCTTGCCTCTGCATTCCAAGTGTTGGGACTAAAGATTGCTATCATACCCATCTGAAAATGTTATTAATTTTAATAAAGTCTAATTTATCAATTTTATTCTTATTGACCATACTTCTGGGTGTCAAGTCGTGAAACTATTTGGCAATCTGTTTTGAGTTAATATTGTTATAATGTGTCAGGTTTACATTGGTTATTTTCCTTACCCTTAATCTCTTTCTCTTTTCCCCACTCCTTTCTTTTTTATTTTCCCTTTGGATAATCAGTCATTGCTGCTCCAGCACCATTTGTTTAAAAACTTCAAAAGCAGGCATGGTGGCACACGCATGCCATCCTAGCCCTTGGGAAGGGCAGGCAAGAGGACCAGAAGTTGAAGGCCATCCTCAATTTTTGTCTTTAAAAATGGGAAGTTGGGGCTGGGTGGTGGTGGTGGTGGTGCATGTCTTTAATCCCAGCACTCAGGAAGCAGAGGCAGACAGATCTCTGTGAGTTTTAGACCAGCTGGTCTACAAAGCTAGATCCAAGACAGCCAGCACCACATAGAGAAACCCTGTCTCAAAAAGGGGGTGGGGAGTTTGGGGATCATTCTTCTTTCACTGAATTATTTTGCACCTTTGCCAGGAAAAACAAAAAGTGTGGTGTACTTGTGCTAGTTTATTTTTGGATTCTTCGTTCAGTGTTGCTGATCTCTGTGGTCACCTATATCTTGTGGTTGCCATGCCGTCCTAGGATGCTTTATACCATGCTAACATGCTAACATTTTTGCTATATCTAATTTTCCAGTCAAGAGTATAATATAATTGCTAGAAGATGTAGCTCAGTGGTAGAGCGACTGACCAGCATGTATGAGGTCTAATCCCTGGTAGTAAAAAAAGATCCTTCTGTCACCAAGTTAAGGGTGCTTTGGTAATACTGTATGGGCCAGCGAAATGGCTTAGTGGGTAGATACTTTCTTCTAGGCCTGACAATCTAAATTCCATCCCCTGGATCTACATGATGAAGGGAGAGAATCAACTCCTATGAGCTCTCTTCTGATCTCCACTCATACAGGTGGTATACACACACACACACACACACACACACACACACACACACAATGAATAAATAGATAAATAAACAAATATATAATATTTAATAAAAATAAACATTAAAAAAGTAAAATATGACATCTGGACAGCCTGTAATGCCAGAACTTAGGCATTATGAAACTCAGAATGAGACTGAGGTTGGACGATTGCCATGAATTCAAGGCTAAGATTGTTTATTTAGTGAGTTATGGTCAACCAGTCTTACATAGCAATATCTCTTCTCAACAAATAAAGAAAACCAAGCAAAAGTACACAATGAGGCCAGGCACAGTGCCCACCTCAGATTCCAACTGTGGCTACAGTCAGGTATGTGCTGGCTCTCATTAGAGCTTTTGTGTTTTCTAAGTGCTGGTCACCGGACCCCAGGCCTTATGCAGTCTAGGCAGGTGTTCTAACACTGTGATATCCCTAGCCCCAAAATTAGCTTTGAAAGTCACGGAAGTGTAAAACACCTCTGCTGTGTGCCAAGATGTTTAGAGAACAATCTAATCAGTATATATATGGGAAAAACTGGATCAAGAAATAAGAATAAGAAAATAAGTTTTAACAATTTAGTTAGCATTAGACAGCATCTCAAGTGTAGAAATCTCAGTCATGTGTGTTTGTGTGTGTGTATGTGTGCGTGCATGTGTGTTATTTAAAATTACCAGCCTTAGGTCTAGTTTATACAGTTAAGAATTTCTGAAGTTCTCTTGTCTCTGGTTGCCTTTTATGTTTCCCTAGAAACCTCATTTCTCTGAAGATGTCTGCAGACTTCATCCCTGTATGACGGGTGGGACAGTTAACATGGAGGTGATCCACTGAGAATCGGCCTACATGTGAGATCATCAGATAGACTGTTGGAGACCCTGACACAATGGATGTCTAGCTCAAACATAAAGAGCCACATTCCTCACAGAGAAGACGGTGGCAGAGCCACGAGTTTGCATGGATTCTCCCTCCTGTCCAAGTCTGGAGAAGGCAATGCAGGTGCCCTGCATAGAGTGTAACAGGGCAGGAAAACTGGATTTGGAGAAATTAATTTTTTCACAGTAAGCTCCATCAAACCTGCTATTTGTCTAAGGAAACATATGACTGCATCCCTCAAGGTTGCTCACTTGAGAAATGGCCTGAGAGAAGGACAGTCGTGGCCAGGCAGCACT